AATGATTCATAAAGTGATATAACTCCATCAGATTTCAATATTTTTTCAAGAACTTTTGGAATCGATTAAGATTTGCATTTAAGCTTAGTTTGGGTTAACAATTTTTCGTTGTAGGCTCTCCAAGGTAGGGATATATTAAAGTTTATTGTAGTATATTAAAGTATATTAAAGTATATCCGGGTTCAAAATCGGGAAAATCTAACATTTTTAATATACTTTAATATGGTTGGCCCCCCCCCCGATTTTAGTCCATCTCGTTTGATTTACGGTGCTTGGTGGGAAATGTCTAAGTACACCAAAAAATGACACTGTGGTGGATGGGTACCTCCATTGGCTTCAAGCAGAAGCTGCTTAAGGTTAATGGATTTTATGTTTACTTCTAGTTAATAATTCATGGATATTAAGCTTTCATATTTTATTTATTGATTAATGGCATGTGATAAAACTTATTGTTTCATGAAATTATTGTTTCATTGTGCTCTAGAATGAGAAGCTTCTAGAAGCAATTTACTCAGCAATACAATAAGAATAAAAAATAATTTCAAGAAGATTCAATCTGCTGTGCTTGAATTCAAGGCAGTCGAAAACTGTTAGTAGAATACCCTTCTTGGGACATAAAGATATAGAATGTAAAACCAAATAAATATTAATTTCTGAGTGATAAAATAAGATATGATTTAACAGTGAAGTGGGATCTTCCGTTTGAACATTCCCCGTTGCTATATCAAGTTTTAGAGGTTTTGCGAAAGGTGTTCGTTCTATACCTTCCGGGGTCGCTTTCAAGCACTTCCATCGAGACATCAGTGACTGTTGTGAAATATTCCCAATGTGCCTCAAGGTAGAAATCATTAGCAGACAATCAAACGGTTTTGAAGGCCCGTTGTACTCTTGAACCTTAGACGAGTTTCGCAATTGTTCGATAGCAGGCACATCGTGCCTTTTAGCAGTGATTTAGCTTAGACTGCAGTTTTGATTTGCAGCCGTCACTGAACAAGGATTGTGTTGATCCATTGTCTGCCCCACGACATACCTTAACATCGAGCAGCGAGTGTTGGAATCGTGCAATAATAAAATATGTCTATTTGATTCACAGTTAACCCGTTAGAGAGGACCGCCATGTTCCATAGTGGGATTGTCTTCTTTGGTGGAAAGAGTTCACCAATAACAGTTGATTGGCTGCACAGAAATCCATGAGCCTGGTCCCATTGTCGCTTGAAGAACTATGGAGAGATTCTCCACCAATAACTCCCTCGAATCCATATCTGTTTGAAGTAACTTTTCCATTGAAGTCACCAGTAGCAGTTTTCAGATATGCGGGCAGTTCACAAACGTGTTGATAAAACGTTGTAATAAGCGATCTTTCTTCCGTATCAGCACCGTCAGTCGGAAGCGTTTTGGGCTACTAAACAGATATGTGAGGTGTTTTGCGTTAGTAAACCTAGTGTTAAGACCGCTATGATGTAGCGTTACATAAGAGATCAGGGAGTCCTGCCCTTTTTGAAAGACATAGGCAACCCCTTGCCTTTTGAATACCATCACCCTACCAGATGAATAAGTAGACTACCATTGTCCAAAAGTGTACTGCAGATCTGGCATATGGTTTCCAGTAAATACCCCAAAATTCAAGGACTGTAGTGTTCCATTTTTCTGACTGAGTTGATTAAGCTGTGAGATGAGCGGACTACAGATAAAAAACAGCAATGCGACTCATCATATAATACTCCATCTTCAGTTGTTAACGCCCTGTTTTTGTCATTTTCTTGTTCCACTCCGTTAAGGCAAAAGATGCAACTCTTCGTTAATTTTCGTGTCATTGACAGCTGCGCATGCAGGGTTTAATTTTAAATTATTTACTTTTGGTAAAAATTACATTAATTTATTTTTATTATTATTTTCTTGCGTGGGTCAACGTGGCGAATTTGTTGTTAGGGACTGTAAATGAGGACGGTTAAGATGTATACTGAATACCATTAACCAATAGTTTTGGGGGGGGGGGGGGGGGGGGGGGGCGGGCAAATATTAAAGTATGTGTTAAAGTATATCCGGGGTCCAAAATCGGAAAAAATCCTACATTTTAATATAATTGATATACCTACAATAGAGATTTATATTCTCGTTAAGATGTAAATGATGAACTATATTTTTCCACTCAGATTCGCAAGATAAAGATGTTTTAGGATTAGTACATGTTTCCATCCAGTTGGTCAAATTGGTGATCTATGGCTTTAAAAAATATGCCCATATTGGGCATTACGCTTTTGCAAAAATTCGCTTTTGCCCAAAATCGATAAATAATTTCATATTTTTTAAGAGACTAAATCTAATGTGGAGTTATAACTCAGTGTTTGTTGAATATAGTGGATAATAAGTAAAAAGACCTCATGAACAAATGGGAAAATTGCACAATAATATCTCTGTTGGAATACTAGCCAAAATGACTTCATTAAAATTGAAATAACTCCATCAGTTTTCATTATTTTTTCAAGAACTTTTGGAAATCGATTAAGAATTGCATTTTCAAGCTTATTTTGGGTAACAATTTTCGATGTGGCTCCAAGGATAGGGATATATTAGTTATTGAAGGTATATTAAAGTATTTAAAGTATATCCGGGTCAATATAGGCGAAAAAATCCTACCTTTTAATATACTTTAATATGGTTGGCCCCCCCCCCCGATTTAAGTCCATCTCAGTTTGATTTACGGTTAGCATGGTGAGACATGACATAAGTACACCAAAAATGACACTGTGGTGGATGGGTACCTCCTTGGCCTTTCAGCAGAAGGAAGTTAAGGTTAATGGGATTTTCAGTTTACTTCTAAGTTAATATTTCATGGTTCGCTCTTATTTTATTTATGATTTTAAGGAAATGTGAAATAAAAACTTATTGTTTTCATTGAAAATTATTGTTTCATTTGAGCTTAGAATTAGAAGCTCTAGAATCAAAATTAACAGCAATACAATAAGTATAAAAAATAATTCAAGAAGCTTCATTGTGTGCATGACATTCAAAGTCAGTCGAAATTGTTAGTTGAAACTTTAGGGAATAAAGATATAGATGTAAAAACAATAATAATTAATTTATGAGTGATAAAATAGTTATGATTTAACAGTAAGTGGGATCCTCGTTTGACATTCCCGTTGCTATATTCAAGTTCTTAGAGGTTTGCGTAAAGGTGTTGTTCTTTAATCTTCGGGGAGCTTTCAAGCACTTCCATAGAGACATCAGGACTGTTCTGCTTGATGAAATTATCCCACATTGTCCTCTAGGTTGACCTCATTAGCCCAGACAATCAAATACGGTTTGAAGGAGACACGTTGTACTCTTGAAACCTAAGACGTGTTTCGCAAATGCTCGATAGCAGGCACATGGCTGTTTTAGCAGTGATCTATCTTAGCTACCGACTGCAGTTTGATTTGCAGCCGTCCACGAAAAGATAGTGATCTGAACCAATGTCAGCCCTCGACATACCTTAACATCGAGCAGCGAGTGTTGGAATCGCTTCTCTAATACAAATATGAATCTATTTGATTCACAGTTAACCGTTAGGAGACCGATGTACCTTTTGGTATTGTCTCTATGTGGAAAGAGTTCCACCAATAACAACGTTGATTGGCTGCCGAAATCATGAGCCTGGTCCATGCGCTGATGACTATGGAGAGATTCTCCACATTATACTCCTCGATCCATATCTGTTTGAAGAGTAACTTTCCATTGAAGTACACCCAGTAGCAGTTTTCAGATCTTGTCGGGGCAAGTTAACCAAACGTGGCTGATAAACGTTGTAAAAAACGCTCTTTCTCTGTCAATCAGCAGTCTGTCGGAGCGTAGGCTACAACAACAGATATGATGGGTGTTTTGCGTTGTTGTAACTAGATGTTTAAGACCGCTTCTGATGTAGGTAATAGAGATAGGGAGTCTGCCCTTTTTGGAGACATTAGGGCCAACCCTTGCCTATTGAATACCATCCCTACCAGAAATGATAAGTAGACTACCATTGTCAAAAGTTGTACTTCTCAGATCCTGGCATATGAGTTATTCAGTATATCCCAAAATATCAGACTGTGTTGATCATTTTGGATGGTGATTAAAAGCTGTGAGTTGTGGCTGACTAAAGTATAAAACAGCAATTGCGGACTCATAAAAATTATATACTCCAATCTTACGTTTTTATCGCTGTTTTCTGACATTTTCTTGTTCCACCTCGTCTAAGGCAAAGATGCACACTTCGTAATTTAAGTGTTCAATTTTTCAGCTGGATAAGGGTTAAATTTAATTATTTAACTTTTGGTAAAAAATAACATTTAATTTATTATTATTATTATTATCTTGCGTGGTACAACGTGGCGGAAATTGTTTGTTTGGGACTGTCTCAAAGAGACGGTTAAGTTTGTACTATGACATTACTTACCAATAGTTTGGGGGGGGGGGGGTGGGGGGGTGGGCCCAACCATATTTAAAGTATGTTAAAGTATATCCGAGGTAAATCGGAAAAAATCTACATTTTAATATAATTTATATACCTACAATTAGAAGATTTATATTCTTCGTTAAGATGTTTCATGATGTAACTATATTTTTCACTCAGATTCGAAGAATAAGCTGTTTAGGACTAGTACATGATTTCCATCGATTGGTTCAAAAATTTTGGCTGTGAGCTTAGAGCTTTAAAAAATATGCCATATTTGGGCATACGATTTGCCCAAATTCGCTTTTGCCAAAATTCGATAAAATTTCAATATTTTTTAATGAGACTAACTCTATGTGAAAGATAGAACTCAGTGTTTGTTGATTATAGTGGACTAAGTTAAAGACCTCCATGAACAATATTGGGGAAAATTGCACTCTCTTCTAAATTCAGTAAGCTTCTATCACTATCAAGCTATCAGTCCTTCCAATTTTCTCAATTCACAATTTTTTATCATTTTATGACAAGGTTTTAAGTTTTAATATAATGTACGTTAAAGCCTTATTATTAATCACCTGAATACATCTTTCAGTTACTGAGGGGGATTGTAGTCGTAAAACTAGTGTCACTAGTAAGTCATTTTATATCTTATTTATTTTCAATGTGTATCACTGCTATCGGTTTATTTAGTTGTTAATCTTTAATTATCTGTTATGAAAACTACTAAACTTTACATAGAATGAGCTACTGATCTAGACATAATATGGTAGTGTGACCATGGTAATATTTCCTTATATGGTAGTGTTACTATGGTTACATAGCCTTATATGGGTGTAATAGAATTATCGATGTACCACAGGTTACCTTACGGAGAGCACAGTGTTTGAAGACCCTGCTATCAAGTACGACAATATGGGGGACGTATCCCCCACCACCATTGAAAACTACCTCGTGAGTTTTTAGTGTTACTATGGTTACATTGTATCCCCCACCACCATTGAAAACTACCTCGTGAGTTTTTAGTGTTACTATGGTTACATTGTCTCCCCCACCACCATTGAAAACTACCTCGTGAGTTTTTAGTGTTACTATGGTTACATTGTCTCCCCCACCACCATTGAAAACTACCTCGTGAGTTTTTAGTGTTACTATGGTTAGATTGCCTCCCCCACCACCATTGAAAACTACCTCGTGAGTTATTAGTGTTACTATGGTTACATTGTCTCCCCCACCACCATTGAAAACTACCTCGTGAGTTTTTAGTGTTACTATGGTTACATTGTATCCCCCACCACCATTGAAAACTACCTCGTGAGTTTTTAGTGTTACTATGGTTACATTGTCTCCCCCACCACCATTGAAAACTACCTCGTGAGTTTTTAGTGTTACTATGGTTACATTGTCTCCCCCACCACCATTGAAAACTGCCTCGTGAGTTATTAGTGTTACTATGGTTACATTGTCTCTCCCACCACCATTGAAAACTACCTCGTGAGTTTTTAGTGTTACTATGGTTACATTGTCTCCCCCACCACCATTGAAAACTACCTCGTGAGTTTTTAGTGTTACTATGGTTAGATTGCCTCCCCCACCACCATTGAAAACTACCTCGTGAGTTTTTAGTGTTACTATGGTTACATTGTATCCCCCACCACCATTGAAAACTACCTCGTGAGTTTTTAGTGTTACTATGGTTACATTGTCTCCCCCACCACCATTGAAAACTACCTCGTGAGTTTTTAGTGTTACTATGGTTAGATTGCCTCCCCCACCACCATTGAAAACTACCTCGTGAGTTTTTAGTGTTACTATGGTTACATTGTCTCCCCCACCACCATTGAAAACTACCTCGTGAGTTTTTAGTGTTACTATGGTTAGATTGCCTCCCCCACCACCATTGAAAACTACCTCGTGAGTTTTTAGTGTTACTATGGTTACATTGTCTCTCCCACCACCATTGAAAACTACCTCGTGAGTTTTTAGTGTTACTATGGTTACATTGTCTCCCCCACCACCATTGAAAACTACCTCGTGAGTTTTTAGTGTTACTATGGTTATATTGTCTCCCCCACCACCATTGAAAACTACCTCGTGAGTTTTAATACTTTCAACACTACTATATAACAAATAATTTGAGTTCAGGGATGGAAGAAAAGAATGTACCCGAGAGGGCGCCGACGCTAAAGAAGAAACGACAAGTAAAGATAAGCCCCTCAAAAGCTAAGTCAACAGCTGAGGATGTTTCTGCGCCTGCTGCAGAAGAAAAATACTGCCCATGTGAAATCTTTATGGCTGATGAGTTATCTGTGGAATGTGAAGCCTGTAAGTTGTTCTGGCATTCAAGTTGTGTTGGCCTGTCTGGGTTGACAGATGATATGTTAGGACATCTGACTAACTGGAAGTGTCCCATTTGCTTTGTGGCACCCCACACAGTTAAGGACACTGATGACCAGAGAGCTGTCAGGGCTATTGTCAAAGAAGAGCTCCAGAAGTTCACACCAGCTTTGGCGAACTCCTTAAAAACAGTTCTAAGCAACAGCACGGACAAAAGTGTGAAAAAAGCTGTTAGTCTCTATTCAGATATTACAGCTAAGTCTCAACAAACTGTTCTGAAAAATCTCAGAAGTTCAGAAACAACCAAAGAAGTTGTCCAGCAGGTACAACGTAACATTGATGCAGATAGGGTGGAGAGAGAAAGAAAGAAGAAAAATGTCTGCATCCTGAAGGTACCGGAAAGCACCAAAAACAGTGTCAAAGATCGTGAAAAAGAAGACATCGACTTTTGCATCAACTCACTTGAGATGGAAAAGGGAGACATTGTGTCCTGCTTTAGAGCTGGCAGAGTCAATAAAGACATACCAGAGTACTGCAGGCCCCTTATTGTCAAACTCTATGACATAGAAGACGTAAAGTACTACACGAATGGAGGGAGAGGAATCCGGTCAAAGAGTGGTCATTGGATAAACGAAGATTTGTGCAGAGCTGACCGTAAGGCAAATTTTCAAGCACGAGAGGAAGCAGAGAAGAGGAAAAAGCAGAAGAACACAGAGAAGAGTCAGAAGATCGAAGAGAAGGAAGCTACAGTTGCAAAGGAATAAGCATATTGTATACTAATGCTAGTGGATTCTTTAACAAAATAGATGAAGTAAAATGTTTATTGATGCTAAACAAGAACATTGATATTATATGTGTCACAGAGACACATTTTGATAATGATATTTTAGATGCTGAAGTTCAAATTGACGGTTACACAATTTTTAGAAAAGACCGTGACTTTAAAATTGAATCTTCTAAAAAGGATATTAGTTCTGGAGGAGGGTCCATCATTTATGTTAAGAATTATATTAATTCATCATTAGTAAAAGAAAGTTGTAATGCACTTGATTCTTTAGCTGTGTTAATAGATACTGCAAGTGGTAAACTTTGTATTGGATGTATTTATAGATCACCATCTTTAAATTCTGACCAAAATTTAAAATTAATTTCTTTTCTTAAAAATATTTGTAATGTTAATAATGATTTTGAAACACTCCTGGTAGGAGACTTTAATTTACCAGATGTCTCTTGGGAGACTGGTTGTGTAAATGGAGGTTTGGTCAGCACTAATAAGTCATTCTTGAATCAAGAAATCTATATTGATATGTTTAACGAAGCAGGGTTGTCCTGGTATTTTACTACTGAAATAACTAGGCGGCGGGTTGTAAAGGATAGACTCCAAGAGAGTCTGCTGGATCAAGTACTTTCCACCAATGATGCACTTATTAATAAATGCACAGTGCTGTCCCCGATTGGCAAAAGTGATCATGTCAGTGTGGTAGTCGATCTAAGTGTTTCTGTAGATTCAATTAAATGTAAAGAGAAGATTCTGAAACCATCATGGGGTAAAATAACTAATGATGATATTTTAAAGTTTAGTATTGAAAATATTAACTGGGATTTTAGTTGCTCTAATGATGTTCAGCTTATGTGGGATGAGTTACATGGCAAACTTACGACTGTTGCTGGGATAGTACCGACTAATTCGGTCTATAAAAACAACAGACCTGTGAAGCTGCCATGGGACACATCCTCATTGAAGCGCATGAGAAAGAACAAAGATAAAGCATGGACTGCATTTGATATTGAACCTTCTAGTGTTAATCTTAGTCATGCAAGTAGTAAACAGCTCATCTATGAGAATGAGGAAGTGAAAGCAAAGATAAGATATGAGAAGAAGATAACTTCTAATTTAAAGATCAATTGTAAATCATTTTATTCTTATTTGAGAAATAAGAGAAAGGTTAAAGCTTCGGTACCAAGTTTAGATAAGGAAGACGGTACAAGGACAACTAGTGCAGGGGAGTCTGCAGAGGTACTTGCAAGTGCCTTTAGTTCTGTGTTTGTTAATGAGCCACTCGGCCCATTACCTAGAAGTTATAGTAAGAATACTAATAGTATATCTGATATTGTTATTACCTTTGATAATGTTAAAAAGGAACTATTAAAGCTTAATATTTTTAAAAGCACTGGCCCAGATGGGCATCATCCAAAGCTGCTTAAGTCCCTAGCTGGAGATGCTAGTTTTGTAACAGCTCTTACTAAATTATTTAGTGCCTGTAGTGATACTGGAAATCTTCCGGAGGTATGGAAGTCGGCATCTGTAGTTGCACTTTTTAAAAAGGGCTCTAAGTCTGACCCTCTTAACTATAGACCAGTTTCTCTTACTTGTATTCTTTGTAAAGTTTATGAACAGTTTGTTAGATCCCATGTGTTAGAATTTTTAGAAGACCGTATTTCAAAGGACCAACATGGGTTTGTTAAAGGAAAATCTTGTTTGTCAAATCTTTTGGAGACTTTCGACACTATACTTAATTTAATAGATGAAGGTGCTCCTGTGGACTTATTTTATTTTGATTTTAGTAAAGCTTTCGATTCTGTTCCCCATTATCGCTTGATTAACAAGCTAGAGAGTCTAGGGATAACTGGTAAAGTTTTAGATGTAATTACAGATTTTATCTCAAATAGAACTATGAGAGTGTGTGTAGAAGGTGAAACTTCAGAGTGGAAGATTGTATGGTCAGGAGTTCCCCAGGGATCAGTCCTTGGACCATTACTATTTGTGTTATTTATTAATGATTTACCAGATAACATTAAAAGTAAAGTTAAAATATTTGCTGATGATCTTAAGCTTATAGCTAATGCCTCCGAGCATGAAACTATAGCTAATGATCTGAACGAACTAGAGATGTGGGAGAGTAAATGGCTTTTAAAGTTTAATCCTACTAAGTGTTCAGTAATGCATTTAGATGTTAACGATAACCCAAGATCAAGTTATTCTCTTAATGGAGTTACATTGGCAGAATCTGTACAGGAAAAAGACTTGGGAGTTATAACCCATAACTCTCTGCTTTGGAATGAACAGATTAAGGCTTCAATATCTAAAGCCAACAGAATGATATGTTGGATTGTTAGAAATCTGATTATCAGGGAAAAATCTGTGATGATATCCATTTACAAAGCTTTAATAAGACCCCATTTAGAGTATTGTGTTCAATTGTGGAGTCCAGTTGCGGCTCATGGAAGTTGGGGGATCATCTTGGAGCTGGAGAGCGTCCAGAGGCGGTTTACCCGTCTGATTGACGAGGTGGGTACTCTTCCATACAGTCGTCGACTGGAAATCCTCAATTTGACAACGCTGGCAGAGCGGCGAATACGTGGGGACCTCATTGAATCTTTTAAAATGATAAGTGGTTTGGCCAATTACGGAGCTGGTTTGTTCAGTATGAGCAGATCTGGTCTTAATGTGGTATCAAACAGTAGATGCAGTAAAAGTAGCAGTAAAATGAAGAAAGTCCACAGTTCTTTTCTTCCGGAGAGGGTGAGACCATATTGGAACAAACTCCCCTCGGATGTCAAGAATTGTGGGACTGTGTTAAGTTTTAAAATAAGATTAGAGGCTTTCAAAAAAGAGACTATTTTAAACGGATCCGTAAATGATATTCATTTTTGGTATGTTTCGGACGAAGTATTAGGAAAGATTGAGGGATTAAATTATGCTACTAATAAAGAGAAGCACAATGAATATCTTGTGTGTCATCCTCATGTTGCTAAGAAACGCTTTATTAACTTATATAGTAGTGGAAAGTATGTAAATTAGATTTATTTTATCTTGGTTGTTTAGGCCAATAGATTTAAGATATTTTTAAAACTTTAGTAGATATATTTTTGATGATGTGTGATGATGTTTGTGTATATTCAGTATCGTGACCGATCTATCAGTGGCGGGGGCCCACATATAAATATCATTTGCACTCATTAACTTAGTCAGGGTCTGTCAATTTGTCCCAAAAGTGTTTTGCCAGGTTTGCCTTAAAAGTTCCGGCATCACTTATCTCTTTAAGGTCAGTTGGTAGGTCATTCCAGACACTGTGTGTTCTGAAGAAGAAGCTTCTCTTAAAGGAGTGAGCTTTTGCTTCCACAGTACACTTCAGGGAAAGGTGGTCGTGTCTGTTCTGTCGCCTCTGGTTGATATCAGGCATTTGAGATGTATCAACTTCATTATATCTCGAGGGTTGCCTTATGTTTGAACGCAACCTACCCTGTTCACTGGTTGTTATCGGGGTTAAATAAGGTGGGAGCTTCAGAACAGATTGACCATTGTATATCTGATGGAATAATAGTAAGTCTGTGTATTCAAACTTCAGCTCCATTGGCAACATGTCTAGCTCTCTTAATCGAGCCAAGTATTCTAAGTCATTATAGTGATGATCCTGTTCGCCAAGGATCCACTTAACTGCTCTGCGCTGAATGTTTTCAACTTTGTTATTCAAGACAACACTTGTTGGTCTCCAGACAACACTGCAATTTTCGAAAAGGCTCCTAACCAGCGCTAGATAGAATGCCCGTTTTTGTTTACGGCCGTTAATAAACCGTAGAGTTCTTTTCATTAGACCTAGACGAGAACTAGCTTTCGTACAAAGGTTGACTATGTTCTCCTCCCACTTAAGGTCTGTTCTAACAAAGACCCCAAGGTCTTTTTTCACTCTGGACGAAGTCTAGTGCCGTTCCATCTAGGGTGTAGACAAAGAGCTGAAAGGGGAAAAAACTCAAAATTCCTTTTTCGCTCAATTTGCTTGATATAGAGAGTACCTTACACTTATTGGGGTGAAACTTCATTTTGTTTCTTACTGCCCAGCAATGCAGGGCATCTATATCTGCTTGTAGGATCTCATGGTCCCTCCAGCCCACAATTTTACGCCATATTTTGGTGTCATCAGCGTACAGGGCAATTTTTGTACCTTCACTTACGCATTCTGACATGTCATTAATAAAGAGTACAAAAAACAGAGGTCCTAAAATGGAGCCTTGGGGAACTCCTGATTTGACATTCTTTTGTTCTGATTGGGATCCCCCAATAATAACACACTGTTTGCGGTCTTTGAGATAGTTCATAATAAACTTCAACAGTGTACCATCAATTTCAAATTCCGATTTTAATTTCTCTAGGATGACATCATGGTTAACTGAGTCAAAGGCCTTGGCAAAGTCAAAGTATACCACATCAGTTCTGATATTATCGTTAATAGACAGTGAAAGACAGTCTATATACCCGACCATTTGTGTAGTACAAGACCTCTGAGGAAGAAAACCATGCTGGTTGTCATGTATTTTATGCTGGCATTTTGCCAACAGTTCATCTCTCACTATTTTTTCAAAAATTTTCATTTTAAGGCTTGTGAGAGAGATTGGCCGATAATTTTCAACTAAAGTTTTGGGGCCTTTCTTACGCACAGGTACTACGTTAGCAAATTTCCATTCAGATGGTATCTGACCTATATTATAAGAGATTTTAAAAAGGCTCGAGAGTGGGTATGCAATACTATCTCTACAGTTCTTTAAAATTTTGCCATGGATACCATCTGGACCAGCAGCTTTATTAACATTGACATCTTTTAGGATTTTCCGGATTCTGCTGGTACTGAACTCAATGTCGTTTACTGAGTCATTACTATAATCAATATCAACATCATAATTACTCGCTTCGGAAAACTGTGCAGCAAAATATTCATTGAACATTTCAGCTTGGTCTAAGTGATTGTTTCTAAATCTGCCGTTATAGTTTACTGTTCCTGGTATGCGAGTAGATTTTGATGTCGATTTGACATGTTTCCAGAATTTCTTTGATATAAGAGCTGGATCATCATCATCATTCAAATTTGATATCATTTTTTGGTCGACCAAATTTTGAAAATCTTTTCTACATTGTGAGAACTTTTCATAGTCCTCAGCTAGGCATGATCTTTTAGATTTGACTCGTAGTTTTTCTTTTTTGAGACACAGCTGATAAGTGTCAGAGTCAAACCAGGGTGGCTGATCCTTATCTGATATCGTAATAGTTGGGATTCGGTTGTGTATGTGATGGAACAGGATTTTCTTAAAACGGAACCATCCTGTTTCTGCATCACAGTTAAGGTGATCATCCCATCTAACTGATTTCAGATCATTGTTCAGGCCGATCCAGTCTGCTTTTTTGTAATTTAAGATTTTTCGTTTGGTGACCTTCTTTCTAAACTTCATTTTAGCACTAAAAGTTATTCCAAAGTGATCTGAGGAGCATATCTCATTTTTCCCCAGGACCGCCAAATTTTCAACAACACTTATCATATTACAGAAGAGAAGATCGAGGACCTTCCCTTTATCATGAGTGGGTTGGTCTATCATTTGTGTTAAGCCTAGGTCATTAAACAGATCTATAAAACGGCCACCAAGAAGTGTGGGGGACACACCGTCTGACCAGTTAACTTCAGGTAGATTGAAGTCCCCAACTACAAAGTGGGCCTTAAACTTTCTCCGTCCTACCACATTTCTGAGGTGTTTCTCAATTTCATTAAAATTATTTTCACCAAGGGTGCCAACTCTATAGCAGGCAGTTATGCAGTAGCATGTGTTGTTTGATTTTAGGCTGACTGAGATCATTTCAGCCCTAGAGCTGACATCAATCTTGTCATTTTCAATACTGATGCCAGTCTTGACTGCAATAAGGACTCCACCCCCCTTCCTTCGAAACTTATTTGAAAACTACCTCGTGAGTTTTACATTACAAATTCCAGAGAATTGTAGTGTTACTATGGTTATATATATTGCCTTATATGGCAGTGTTATTATGGTTACATTGCCTCCTCCACCAGCATTGAAAACTACCTCGTGAGTTTTACATTACAAATTCTAGAGAATTGTAGTGTTACTATGGTTATATATATTGCCTTATATGGTAGTGTTATTATGGTTACATTGCCTCCTCCACCACCATTGAAAACTACCTCGTGAGTTTTACATTACAAATTCTAGAGAATTGTAGTGTTACTATGGTTATATATATTGCCTTATAAGTTATATGGCAGTGTTATTATGGTTACATTACCTCCTCCACCAGTATTGAAAACTACCAAATTCCAGAGAATGGATCTTTACTTGATGAACTTTAAAACGTATTTAATCAAGTTCTGGGACTTTAAAAGCCTTATTTAATCACGTGCTATGTTAATAATTGTTTTGATGATTTTATGTAAATAAAACCTGAATGTTCTGATGCAACATATTATCGTGGTTGGTTAAAAGATTTGAGATCTGCCTTTAAACACCATAACAAGCAATTTCCGTTTTATTTATGCACCATTTTATGCACTGTTCAATAGTTTTGCCGCTAGAATTATGATAAGTGCAGCATGAGAATATGGTGTTGCAAGCAGGTTTTTACAACTTAGAATCCGTTTAAAATTTAATCATAAAACGGTTTATAAGTCACGTGAGACATATTTTGAATACTAAAAGAGCGCGGTGATTTTAGTTTAAAACCGTGTTAGTTAAAACCAGGTTAAGCGGATTAAGTATATGTAAACACAGTGACATCAATAGTTTGATGAAAGATCCCTAATGTAGGATTGTTATGTCAAAAATGTAATATTATTTGTTTTAAGTGAACAACACTGAGAAATAACACTGCAGAGTGCGAATCATGGGTAGTAAAAATAAACATCGAAAACCTTTATGAAGGAGCAAAGTGCTGAACGGGTGATTGGTCTTGTGCAGTACTGACGTATAGAAACACGAGACAATGTTGAATGAGAAACATTAATCTAGTGTAAATAAAGGGAAAACCTAGCATAATATAAGATTAATATTATTATTTATGACCAGAACTTTATTTACTGGGTGTATTACCGTTAAATGTAGGCAGATTTACATCAACTTCTCACGCAGGGCCAGGAGTAAGCACGTACTTTCGGTAAATCGAGGGATCGGGTAATATTGAAAACCAGGTATTATGATGGGACCAGGAGTATAACGATTAGTGTCGGAGCTCTAAACTTTGACCGTAACGTTTTTCAGATGCCCTTCAAAGGGAAGTACAACACAGATTGGCAGGGTCTGTGCGTCACGGACCTTGAGGAACCTGAACTGGATATCAAGGTTTGTGGGAACAACAAGCAACACCAACATGTAGTGTTACCATGGTAACTAGTAGTGTAACTATAAGAACAACAAGCAACACCAACATGTAGTGTTACCATGGTAACTAGTAGTGTAACTATGGTAACATGGTACAGAGCACAGTATATCCTGGACAGTAGAGTTGATAGCAATACTTGCAAATGTTATGGGAAATTTTGCATTTTTACCATAATATGGTAGTCTTCTTGGAAACTTTTTATTATTATATATTATATAATAATACAAAAGTTTTCAAGAAGACTATCTAAAATGGCCTAATTATAAATAATCAACCCCCTCCCCCTCTAAACCCCCTCTAACTGCCCTCTCCGCAGAACCTGAATGAAAGTGAAGGAGGGGACAGTCTTGCTCCTACTGACATCGTCATGTCCCCTTCAGAGTGCTCTGTCAGCAGATCGGTGATCAACATCTCCCTGAGTGATCTCAGTGAGTCTGTCTACATCCAGCACTACGATATCGGTTAGTTTGACTTTCCTCAATGCTGTTAAATACGTAGCGTTTCAAGCAAAAGTATGCATACGCAAACGTATTTGTCTCCGAAAATTCGCGTATTTCGATTTCCACTGTGGAGTAAGAACGATTTTTTACAATAAATATTTTACAATAAATTGCGGTCCGCGGTCTAAAGTAGCATTAGCGACCATAGTCGCTACTTCATGATACTTCTGATCAGTGAGAGTGGTGGCTAGAGTTTGCCTTACCGGAACTGAGACTCCTCTCCCCATTGTGGAGAGGGACCATATTAAGGAAGTACGGGCTCTCGACTTTAGAGAAAGGAATAGCTTCAACAAGGAAGAATTCCGCGATAGGTTCCCTGAGCACACAGAAGGGTGGTTTGATCGAACAGTTCTGTAACTTTGTGTCTTTTAGCTCTTTGTTTAGATTCCTCTGTCACCTGCACTTAATAACACCACGGGTTCCTTCTCCGACAAAGTGTGCCCCAACTAGATTTATCCAACGCGAATTTTGATTTATTTCTTTAACGCTCAGAAAATTCACCGAATTCAAAATGCGCGGCGTTAATTTTATCTGCGCACGTATTTCGGAAAAATTTTAAAAGTATTCTGGACAAAATTTAACAGGGTCTAAATTAAATTTCTTCGGGCTTATTGATTGGAAGCTTCACGTATTCTTACGTATTTCTCTCGAACATTTAATACGCCGTATTATGAGCCGATTTTTGACGTATTTAACAACGATGACTTTCCTTCAATATATCACGGATTTATTGTCTTACGATTTACTTCATAAGAGAGATTCTGTAATGTTTTCCGAGTGTAATATAAAGTGTTATAGAGAGCTGTTTTTGTGAACTACGATTAATTTATTTATTTTGCCGAGCCATATTCCATAGGTCCACCTTCTAATCTACAAAACTACGGTGCAGCAAATTTGACCCTTGCCTAACCGTTAATATTTCTTGAGATTACATTTATATGATAGCAAGTCACCTGTCACGTGATGAGACAATACTATATAAGGTCCCTCGGTTCATCTATTGCATTGTATACTGTAAATATATAGCTTTTAGCTAGCTGTGAAGATACCCTCCCTCTGTGAACTATTTACTTACTACCACAGCTGCACTGAATGGTAACTATGGTAACACTACTAAAACGTGATCCTCAAATTGTAGGTATTCTTGCCATATCCGTTATTAAAATATCTTGTAAAGTTATCTAAAAACTTTTGCGTGCATCGTTCATATTAATTACCTACTAGTAAGGGGAAAAGTGGTCGATTTAAGGGTTCCGTTGGATTTGAATGTTCACAAGGATTTCTCAACGGAATATGGTAGTTAAGACCCCTACGAACATAATTAGACTTGTTGCCAATTTTGTATCTCAACAGAAACACCACTTTTACCACTTTTTACCACCTTTGTACCACCTGTCTGGTTTGCCAAATATCTTTAGTTGTGAACGTCGTAAAAGGCTGCAAATTAACCTAGAATGTTTATCTTATCAAGGAGTAAAACTTTTGTGCGAAAAATTTTTACATTGGACAATCAGCTAATTGGATAATTACCAATTAGTTAATCACCAAAAAAGTGAAAATTTTTTATTGGCTCAAATGATTGAAATCGTTTGAAACACGGAGAAATGTAGTTTTTAGAAAAACTTCAAAAATTTTTCACTTAAAAATTTTTTTCGAGACTTGAAAAAAAAGTTTGAAAATTTAAAAATATTTTTTTTCCGCCAAAAGTGATCGAATTGCATGAAACGTGGATAAAAATGCTTTGCAGAAAAACTTCGAAGATTTTGAGATTGGGGAATACTAAAATCATCAATATTTGAAGTTGGAGTTCAGTAAATCTCGACATATTTTAGTAATTAGGAATAGCTTAGCGGAAAGGGCCGAACCTGAAAAAGGTTAACCACACAATATTAGAGTTTCATAACTAATTACAATACAGCTTTCATTCCACAATTCCACATAAAGAAACAGCACAAAAGGACCATTTAGGATCGAACCGATTTTTACCTGCTGTACTATCATTTTATTGATTTCAATGATCAAAACCTCTGAAACCGTCAACTTCCCAAAATTTTATCCCCGGGTATCTGAATGTCCCGGGACCTTTATTTACCTCTATAATTAGCCCCAAGTTGTGCAAGAAATGCGTTTTCTAAAAGGGGGTTTTTTCTTTTAACTGGCACTTTTTGTCACTCTCGAAAAACTCCAAAAAGGCCCGGATTAGGGGGGGGTATAGGAAACGAGTGAAAATCCCTTTCCATCATCCACTGTCCCCCCCTTTGTGGTTTTTTTTATTGTGAAATCCCGCGGGCCCGCTTCGTTTGTTTATGCCGATCCCTCGAAAAAAACCCCCATATTTTAAATTTGCCGGGGTCGGGTTTAGGCGGGAGATAGCATTAAAAAAGTTGCTAGAAAATAGTAATTTAGAGTAAACGGGGTTGGTGGTGGGGGTGCTGCTTTGGATGTACAGAACGTAGCTACAGGGGGTTTTTCAGGGGAGTTGGTTTTTTTAAATGGCCAAAGAGTCCCGGAAACTAAAGTTATTTTAAGATTCCCTTTTGGGGGGCCTTGTAAAACCACGGTGTATGGGGGACACAGAGCCCAGGGGCGGGAGTACTCCCAAGTGCAATGGGAACAGGGAAAGTGATACAGTCTGCAACAGTAAAACCCCCGACGAAGCTAAAACTTAGAGTGAACTGATGGAAGTGGGGGGTGCAAAATGGGGGTAGCAGAACGAACTACATGAGAAAACAGGAAAAAAAGGCTGGTTGAGACCTAAAAAGATGTAATCGGGCCTGTAGATCCAGGGAAAAAACGAGAGGCGAAGATTTTTGATCACAAAACCAAAAGCTCAAAGAAAAGAGGGTTTAAAGAGACTCACTTTGATAAATCAATAAAAAAAGGGGTTGGGGTCATTTCTCCGGGTTTTCATCAGTTTTGGGAGGGAAAGGGGTTTGTTAAGCTAAACCCGGTGATCTTAATAGGCGGTTAGCTTACCGGGTTGTTTCCCAGCCCCCCCTTTGGTCGTTTGGGAAAAAAAGGGTTCTCACCCCACCCCCTTCCCAAAAAATCATTTACCAGAGCAGGAAATTTCTTCTTCCTACTCTTCTTTAAACCCCCCAAAAAAAATTTCCGGTTCCAGTCCTCCCCTCCTCTGCACCACAATCTTACCCTCCTTCTTGGGCCTTTTAAAAACTGTTGCATCCTGTATCACTTGCACTTTTCTTTTGCACTTGCAGTATCCTGCCTTTTAACCTCGGGTCCCGGGACTACACCGGGGTTTACACTGCCCCTCAACTGCAATCTTAAGTAATTTTAGTTCCGGCACTTTTTGGGCCCTTTAAAAAATAACCAACCCCCAATAAAACCCCCGTGTAGTACGTTCTGCTACTTCCTTTGCTGCACCCCCCCAGCTACCACCATTTACTCTAACCCAAGTTTTTTTTCTACAAACCTCTCACGCAAACCCAGCCCTTTCCCCGGGACCCTGGCAATGCCCCCAAATATGGGGTTATTCGAGGTTTTTGGCAAACAAAGAAGCGGCATGCCCCATTCCCAATAAAAAAAAACTACAGTGGATATGGAAGGTATTTTAACTCGTTTCCTTTAACCCCCCTATAATCCCGGGGCCCTTTTGCGATTTCGGGGAGTGACAAAAAGTGCACTTTTTAAAAAAAAACCCCTGTAAAAAACGCATTTCTTGCACAAGGGGCCTAATTATAGGGTAAAAAGAGGCCCGGGTACATTCATACCCGGTATAGATTGGCAAGTTTGGGACGGTACAGGGGTTTTTTGATCATTGAAATAAATAAAAGGGTAGTCAGCGGGTTTAAAATGGGTTCGATTTTAAAAAGGGCCCTTTTTGGGGTTTTTTTTCCCTTTATGGGGAAATTTTTGATAAAAAAATTTTTGTAATTAGTTATAAAACCCAAAATATTGTGGGGGTTAAACCCTTTTTCAGGTTCAGCCCTTTCCCGCTAATTTAATTCCCTAATTACTAAAAAAAATGTGAGTTTAAACTAAACTCCAACTTAAAAATATTGATGATTTTAGTTTTTTAAATCTAAAAATCTTCGAAGTTTTTCCCCCAAAGAAATTTTTATCCACGTTTCATGCAATTCGATCATTTTTGGGGGAAAAAAAAAATTTTTAAATTTTAAAAATTTTTTCCCCAAGTCTAAAAAAAAATTTTTTAAGTAAAAAAATTTTTTGGAAGTTTTTCAAAAAAACTAATTTCTCCGGTTTCAAACGTTTAAAATCTTTTTTGACCCAAATAAAAAATTTTCACTTTTTTGGTGATTAAAAATTTGGGTAATTACCCAAATTTGGGCTATTGTCCAAGTAAAAATTTTTCGCACAAAAGTTTTACCCCTTTGTTTAAGTTTAAAAAATTCGGGTTAATTTGCACCCTTTTAAAAACGTTCACAATTTAAAAATATTTGGCAAACCAAAACAGGGGGTCCCAAAGGGTAAAAAAAGGGGTTTAAAAGTGGGTTTTTTGTTGAGTAAAAAATTGGGGCAACAAGTCAAATTAATGTTCTTTGGGTTTTTTAACTACCATATTCCTTGAGAAACCTTGTAAAACTTTTAAAAACCCAAAGGGAAAAATCCCCATTTTTCCCCCCCCCCTTATTTAACTTTTAATCTTGTCGGATAAACGTGCGGGAAGGAATCTAACTACTTAATTTACGGAACTATGGTAGCATTACTTGTTACCGTTTTCCCTTTTTTCAATTTTTTTTACTATGTAGCAGTTTGAAAAATGTGTACTAACCCCTCGGGTTTGATTTCAATTATCCTAACGGGAAAAATTTATCTTAAAACTCCACATAAAAGTTTTTAGCAGGGGAAGTTTAAAGCGCTTAGTTGCGTCCTTTTCGGTACACATTGCGTCTTTGACAACATTTTTACTTTTTTTTAAAATTTGATTGGTGGTTTAAC